CCTTCTTTGATGGCCACTTCTTTCCACTGAGTTTCCTCACATTTAATACTCACTTGTTGTCTTTTGGTGATCTTTAGAGAGGAAAGATGTTTTCAGAACACATGTACCATATTTGACAAGGAAGGATGACTTGGAAAAAAGACCTATGGAGAGCAGGAATGTTATCCATTTTTACTTTATTAAATCACTCATAAGATAGGAAAACATTTCCACTGTTCCGCTATGGTACAAAGTGGAATTTTTCTCCACGTATGTGTTAGGCACAGACATTTGATGGAAAAATGCTCATTTAATGATTGGTATTAAGTGTCTGTATAAAGGTCCTAAAAATACAGTGTGGGACTGCTCAGTGAAGAGGTGAAGTTGGTTTAAGGCAGGCCAATCCTGGACTTCATCCCAGGAGGTGAGGTTCCTGAGGCCAAGGAAGGAATGACCTCATGTTAGGGAGCAGACTTCTATCCATGGGTGGCCTCCTGGTGACCATCCTGGGGGGCAACTGCCCCTAATTGCTCAGGGGTTGGCAATCACATCTAGGTATGAAAACGTTTACTGCTGGCATTGTCCTGGGTGGCCTTCAAAGTAGTCTCATGTTCAGTGAGCTTTAGTAAGATTTAAAATATATCCTAACATGTGGACACTTTAACATTTGTGGAATGTCTGGATACCCTTTGGGAATCCAAGAATTCTCTGAGATGCTGGAGAGAAAAGAGGTAAGGTGAGAGTGGGTGAGAGCCAGAATGTAAACATTAGGGTTTTCCAGGGCATTTGCAATCTATTTAGCAAATTCAGACTTCAATCTGGTCACAGCTGCCTGCCTGAGTCTGTTTCCCACTTTCAAAATGAGATGGTCGATTAAGAGTTCCTAAAACACCAATTCCAGTGGCGGCGACAGCGTCCCCCTGCATCTGCACGTTTTGCATGAAACACGGAGAAGCTCCCTCACTGAGCTGCTGGGCACAGAGCCTCACCACCAGCAGGGCCCTCCCCGGGGCTGCTGGCGACCTCCCGGGCTCAGCTCTGAGATCCTCACTGGGAGACCTGGATCTCCGGTTCCTTTATCTTGACAGACAAAAGTGAGTTGCACCTCACACATTTCACATGGGAAGTACTTAGAAATGTTGACTTTAGAATGACTTTAAATATAATCATAGCCTTCACAGTCCTTCTGTTGCATACGTGTGTATTCCTGAATCACTTGCCACAGAGATTATATAACCACATGAGTCATGACTCCTACATATCACTTATGAACAATGCGGAGAAACTCCCTGTAACCTATTTGCTTCGGTTTTCCACAAATGTTAACAGTAGTTCAAGAAGGCCATGGAAGCTGGCTTTTCATGGTTTCAGAGGAACTTTCCTGATACAAGTAACTCATCTCAGGTGCTAGGTATAATGACTCCCCTCCTCCCACACACAATTCCAGCTCCTTCTTGAACCACAAGTGGCCTCACACAACACTTAGGGACATTCCAGTCTGCGTGTCCAAGCTCTGCCTACTTGCCTGTAGGGGCTGAGGGTGTCACCCGCTACTAGGAGGAAGGATGAACCCATGCAGTTCCCAGCTGGTTAGAGAATTCCAACATCTGGAGAGTGGCACGAGGTGAGTGTGTGGGTTTCAGGAGGCATACTTCCATGACCCCTGATTCTGTACTCCCTGAATGTGGACAGGGAGGGAACAGGGTCCATGTAGGATGAGATCCAGGCCCGGGGCCCCTCTTGGCTATATTTAAGGCATATGTTGTCATCAACTATATCTTAACTGTACATCCTTTAAAGAAATCAATATAAACAACCCTTAGTCCGGATGAGTGCACGAACACACAGGATTGTACAATGAGAAGCAACAACTCCAACCCTGTAAAAATACCTGGCAGTCACACTAGAGGCAGACAGTAAGGTTACTCATCTAAAAGGCACTTAACCCTTTAGATCAGCTCCCAGTTTCAGATGGGGACAAACTAGCCATTTGGGCCTATGATACATACTACCTACAAGATCAACTATAGTCCAGATTTAAAAGGATTGTTTAAAATTAAGTTCCACCCAGGGGCTAATATACCAAATACATTCCATTTATGAGAAAGGTAATAGAAACTTTTTTTATCAAAAAATACAAAATAATAAAGATCAGAGTCTCAAGGGTAATACTCTAAGGCACCTGGGAAGCTCACTTATCTGGAATGGCAAATTTCTCAATTGATTCAGAAATGATACATTCTCTTCAGCTTAATACTGATGGGTAGCTACACCGAAACACATCAAAGGAGAGCAGTGAACATATAAAATCTCTCCTTCCTTAGTTTTACCATGATGTAACTGCTTATATCTACACACCAGCACTTGTCAGCTTACTCACTGAAAAGTATTTCCCAGGTGTCTATCGCTATGCTGAGCAAGACACAGCTTGTGCCTTCAAGGAACTTAAAACCTGAGAAGTAAAACCTCACACACCAGTTAAAAACCAGACAGAAAGTGGTCTTATGAAGGACACTGATAGGACGTTACTTTAGGAACTCTGAGGGAGGAAGGTGGGATTCATTTCTGCAGAGGCAAGCAGAAGGGGGCACTTGAGCCAGGCTTTGAAAGACAGGCGACATATTATCATTTCTTACGGCTGCACAATGTCAGTTTTGAATCAGTTAACTTGTAATTCCTTTAACATTCCATAAACTAAGTTGACTCTGAGTTCCTGTATGACACAACCCACTAAAAAATATGTGTGTATTTCCAGGAAGTGGAGTGCACTCTTTTTCTCTTTTAAGAAATGCTAAAAATACATACCAGTTCAGTCTGAAAAACTGAGATTCCAAGTTTTTATGTCACCATGTGTATACTGTATTAAACAGATTTTTTCTTTAGGTGGAAAAATGTAAAACAGTGAGAAAAGTTTTTAAATGTAGTTCCCTATTTGAAATGTACTTTATGAAACTGATTAAATTCCAACTACCACGCTTTCAAAGTGAAGTGTGAGTTTGCTCTGGTGTCTTCCAGCTGCTAATGTCTTTTACTTATGTCACCCCAGGAAACAGAGCACACAGTACAAACCAGACATTGAAAAATCATGTATTCCTGGTTGCTTTCCCCTTTACTCTTTGAAATAATTTGTCTTTGAAGAAATTTTCCTCCTATTTGAACACATCCACTTCCGGCAAGAATGGAATGTTCACTGATGTTACACCCGAGCTGGGCCATCCATCTTCACATTGAAGGAGTAAAAGAAATCAAAACAAAAAAACCAAGGAGGTTTCCTGTTTTTATTCATGGTTACTAGTGCCCATTTGGGGGATTTAAGTAATGCGTCCTGCTCAGTCACAGCTCATCTTTCCCTCCAATCGTGTACCCAAGGAGACCACGGTTCCTTTTCATCTGCTCCCCTGATGACCGCCTGGATCACACAGCCTATTCAAGCTTGTCCCCAGGGCCCCAAAACAACACAAGCGACAATTTCCTAGGGAAGCCCAAAGCCTACCTCACCCTTCCCACTGGGGAAATGCACGGACTCAGCCCTTTCTGGTGTGATTATGTAAGAACACAAGGGCTTGTTCGACCCTCCCAGAGCTCAGACCTTGCTTTTTAACACCAACTTACGCCCAGTCTTCCCTGAAGTCCTGGGGGATACTGGGCAAAATAAAAACAAGCAGGATTTATTTTCAACATGGCAACATATTACCAGTACTCCTCTAGAAATTCTGATGGCCTGGGGATGGTATAGACTGCTGGGAAAGAAAGTGGCTTACACGGTCAGCTGTAGCATTCATACACTGACTGGGGAACCACATGGCAGAACACTTCTGTAACTTTGGTTTCTGTTTTTTTCCTAAGGCAATTAATTTATCTGTCTCAGACATTTTCTAATGTCTCCCCTGGATTGCTATCACTTGAGTGAAGGGTTACCAGAATTTGGGGAGACAATCTTTTTTTGTGCGCAACCTATGTGCTAAATGCCAGTGGCAGCCACCCCATCCCCCAAGTCACTGTGATGACCATAGAGACCTTTTCCTCAACAAGGGCCCCCATCTGAGGCAGTGCTCCCTCAGATTTGAGGACCACTTCAACGCCAGAGCTGGCTTCTATGGGTTCTTTCTCTTCACGCCTAATTTAACATCTTCCAGGGCTACGTTTCTGTAGCTGTCATCACATCAAAGGGATTTTTTGCATCAACCTCCTACCTGAAAAAAGGGACCCAGCCTGGCAAAGGGACCTTCTTTGGCTCTTTGGAGCCATGCATGCGTGCACCACACGTAGAACAGGTCTTTCGCCAAGAAGGGTTATTCACACCTGTTTCTAGGTTGCTTTTTTGATAGTTTGGGTGCAGCACAGCATAAAAATTCATCTCAGAAACAATAAACTATAAGGAGAAACAGAAGCTTACTGAAGTCAACAGCTATTATGAGACAAAGAACAGGATATCATAACTATCATTCTTTGCCAAAACTGGGCCCTTGGCCCTGTTTCTGTTCTGTCTTGGAAGAAAGCTTCACCCAGCAGGGTGGTGCTATGTGTTTAGGGGGTCATCCAAGTTCACCGTAAATTTAAGTTTTCCTTCATGGTTGGCATCAAAGCTTCAGAGCAAGGCTGTAACACATCTGTGTAGGCCCTTGAGCAGGTTCTTGCACCAGGATCCCACAGACAGGTTCATGCTCCTGGTGTTCCCCCTGCCCTGCCCTTGAGCCATGCGTTCCTCAGGCATTACAGACACTGTTCTGAAAACAGTGGTTATGGCAAAAAGCATTTGGAAACTTGTAACCGATTCCTTTCTAGTGGCTAAGATGCAACAGCTATTTCTGCAATGGGGCCTGTCCACAAGCTCAGTCCGGATGTGTCTGTAGCTGGAAGCTGAATGCCTTCTTCCCACTCACTGCTATATAAAAAAGTGCAAAGACATTCTGTTCACCAACCAGCCAACCACGGGCAATAACATTAGGGGCACAGGAGGGGAGCTGCTTGTCACTCAAAGGGAAACGTGAGTTTAAGGAAAGGATGGCGTGCTCACTCACCACTGAAGTAAGAGCCATCTGAAAACTGTAGATGCGCGCAAGGCCGAAGTCAGCCAGTTTTATTTGTCCACTGCTGGTCACCAGAATGTTCTGTGGTTTTAGATCACGATGCACTACTCGGTGAGAATGAAGAAAGTCCAGACCTCGCAGGAGCTGAAACATCATATCCTAGAGGAAAACCAAATGAGAAGATGAATGTTCGAGTTGGAAATCTAGCCTGTGCCATATCTGACATTGAATTCTCAGCACCTTGCTGAGTGCTGGGCATACAGTAGGCAGTCGGTAAATATTAGCAAATGAATCTGTCTCCCTCCCCACCTCTCCCCTCTTCCAGTCTCAAGAACACTACAAAAAACTTAGCTCTTGACCTACATTTTATTAATGAATGGACAATTAAGAATAGTTCTAGATAGCAGAGGAAACATTCTGGAAGGACCCATGCTAACTCGGTGTCTGTGTTAACGCTGGGGAGGGGCAGCAGGACGTGGTGAGAGGGGACCCTACTGTTTCACATTTAGTTCAGCAACCAAAATCCAGTGAATGGTAACTTAACCTGTGGTAACTATAATAACAAGAGTGCTTGATACTAAGCAGTCACTATGTGCCAAGCACTATTCGAAACAGCTTCTGTGTAGTAACTCACTTAAACCATACCACAATAGTGAGGTAAGTAACACCATTACTTCCATTTTACAAGTCAAGAAACATACACAAAAGCAGAACAGGTTAATTCGTCCAAACATGTAAAATGAGGCAAACCTTTTCATCTGTTTTCCCATTCGTAAAAGGGCAAAGTAACAAAACTTACTTCTTCAGATTAATGGGTGTGAGGTGTTTAGCACAGCAGTAAGCATTCAATACGTGACAGATGACTGCTATCATTACTAACCAGTGCAGTGGGCAGGGACATTCAGAAAATATACCAATACTAGATCTAAATTTTACGACTAATAAAATTAGATACAAGATTTAAAACTCAGAATCGGTATGTCAAAGTAGGAACTTAAGACATTAGCCACGATACCATGATCCTCTGAAATCTGGGGTTGATAATTATCTAAACAGTGTGTAAAAGGGAGGAGGAACTATTCTGTTCCCATGAAGGCTAGAAAAAACAAAAAGGCAGAATCATGGAGTTCTGAACCGGAAGGGGCTGGGATGGCCCTCAGGGAAGAACAATGCCTTCGTGTGTGGTTTTACGGCTTGGGTTCCTCCTTTAGAGCTGGGAGTTCTGTCTTCACCTCCTCACTTGTTCAAAATCAAAGCCTTAATTTTTCCATCTGTAAAATGGTAAAAATATCGTTTGCTTTCCAGAACGCCACGTTTAAATGGAAGTAATGTATGCAAAATGGGGATGCATTTCCGGCACAAACTTTTCAACAGATGGTAATTATTGCTGGGGGAGAGGGAAGGTCAGTGTGAACCGAGTACTAGGAGGGAGCGAGCAGTGACCCAGGAGGTCCTCTTTACTGGATATTCTGAACTGGGAGGGCCTGGTTTGTCAGTTTCCAAAGGTAAAAGCTGTGGAGGAAACCACTCTGGGGAGGGACGGCCCTGGAGACTCGAGCCCCACTGCGAGTGAAACGACCTGCAGTGAACACACAGTGTGTGAAAATGAAGCCCGGCACTCTAAAGAAAGTGCTCTTCTGCAGCGGCAAACGCGTCTTTATTGGAACCACATGCGCACAACTTGTAAGCGCTGGTTTTAAGCAGCATGACTAACCTAAAGTAATGTCACGCTGGCTCTTCATCTTTAGCTTCCTATACACAAAGCATCACCCATTTAAAACAGAATGGAGAATACACCTGCCTGGTTCATGCTGCAGTATTCAGAGAATGGAAGCAACCAATTAGAAGTAAAAAACTTTAAAAACCCGAACTAATTAATTAATAAAAAGGTCCATCAAAATTTATAAAAAGCCCTAACTACAGTGTAAAATAAGAACATGTGTACATTGTTATTTGTGTATTTATATAAGCACATACTGCCGTCTTAGTTGTAAAATTGATAAACATGTATATACATGTTTAATACAGAAGTTCTTAAGTTTTTGGAAATCTAGAGTAAAAAGAAAAATCATTCAAAATCCCACTGCTCAGAACACAAACTTCATGTTAAATAACAATTTTTTTTCTACTCTGTCTTAAAAAGATTACATGTATTATATGTATATGTTTAAATATTTTAATAAAAATTGTTATTATTCTTTATCATTATTTTGTGTCGCTTTTAAATTCATTGTGAATATTTTGCTCTTCAACGAAATTCTCCCATGGAATGTTTTTTACGCCATGTGATTTTTAATGGCTGTACGATTTTCTTCCCTGGGATATGCCATAATCATTTTTAAAAAAGATTTATTTGAAAGTCAGACTTATACAGAGAAAGGAGGAGGCAGAGAGAATGAGATAGAGAGAGAGGTCTTCCATCTGCTGGTTCATTCTTCAAATTGCTGTAATGGTTGGAGCTGCATCAATCCAAAGCCAGGAGCCAGGAGCTTTTTCCGGGTCTCGGGTCTCCCACACATGGGTACAGGGGCCCAAGCACTTGAGCCATCCTCTACTGCTTTCCCAGGCCATAGCAGAGAGCTGGATCGGAAGTGGAGCAGCCGGGATTTGAACAGGTGCCCACGTGGGATGCCAGCTCTACAGGCGGTGGCTTTACTCACTAAGCCCTGCTATAATCATTATCACTGGGTTTTGGTTGTGCTATTTTAGCACTTACACTACAGGTCTGGTTCTCGTTGTTGAAGGCTAGAACAGATTAAATTCACCTGTGAACATCATTTCAGCCCACAGGTGAAAAAGCATTAATCCACATGCCTGCAGTAACAGTGATTCCACAGCAATGATGCCTACAGAACTAAGTTGGTTCTATGCAGGAATTACCACTCTTTAGATTTTATTAGGCTGTTTTTGAAAACCTTTCCTTAGAAAACTGAGTTTCCTTTTAAGGCCAGAGTATCTAGATTCAACAGTGTTCTGAACCAGTGAGCTTTGAATCAATGACTTAAAAAGCAAAATCTTAACAGTGGGTATCTGGAATAGCGGTTAAGATGCCTGCATCCCACATCGAATGGGGTTCACTTCCTGGCTCTGGCTCTCAGTTTGTTTCCTGCAAATGCAGGCCCTGCTAGGCAGCAGGTGATGGCTCAGGTAGCTGAGTTCCTGCCAACTCCTCTGGAATGAGCTCTTGGCTCCCGTAATGCAGGCATCCCGTATCTGCACACCAGCTGAAGCTGCTCGGCTTTCCATGAAGCGCTCTGCTAATGCACCTAGAAAGGCAGCAGCAGATGGCCCAAGTACTCCAAAGGGCCCCTGCACCCTTGTGGGAGACCTGGACGGCGTTCTGGCTTTTTGGCTTCAGCCTTGTCCAGCTCCTGCCGCTATGGCCATTTGCGGAGTGACCCGACAAATGGAAGATTTATCTTCTATTCCTTTTGGTCACTCTGCATTTCAAATAAATAAAATAAATCCTTAAAGAAAAAAGGTCTTGTCCAAAATCTCATCAGTCAGTGATTCGAATGCCAGTTAGGCTGATGAACCCACGGACCTTTGATGAGCATGATTTGAGGAACACCCCTTAGTCTTTAACCATCATTTACTGGAATGCCTAATTTCAAAGGTGAAATAAATTCAGCTATGTTAGGAACCTTCGTTCCAAAGAATAATAATAATCAGCTTCAATCCAGAGAATGATAAGTGAACAAGCATTACACAAGGTAAGAAAAATAGCTTTCCTTCGGAATCACGTGAAGTGTTTTAATCAGGCATTTCAAAGGACTTTCTACTTAAGCCTATTATCTGTTCTATCTCAGTTTATAGGATTGCGAGAGACATACTTTAAATTAGCTCCTCGAGATTCTAATCTAAATTAATCTGTCCCATACAAGCCTCAAATATTTCACAGTAACCCTAGTGATGGGATGTAAAGAAATGTCAGATGCTGCCAAGTAAGGCTCTTTAAGTTAAACACAGTTTTAAAAGTGTCCCTTTTTACGTTACAAAGCACAGTTGTGTTATAAAAGGGCTGAATACCTCATCACAGGCAGGATAAGCAGTCACCTGGGCCTTTTCTGAAACATGTGGCCTGGAAGCACGTCTCAACAAGACATGCCAGCATGGAATGAAGTCTGACTCCTAGGGACTCTAGGTGGGGCTTTGTACCCAGCCAGATCCTCTCAAAAGAATCTGGACCTGTCTGAATACTTAGCAGTTGTTTCTTTGTAGATGTTTTTGAGCTCTGGCCTCTGGTTCCTTTAACATCAAAGCAAACAAGCACATTAAAAGGCTTCTCTACAGGGCAAAAAGATTTATCACTGTGCTCTGTTTTCTCTTGTTGGGAGAATGAGCTCCCATTTGCAGGTTCACTCCCCAACTGCCCACAGTGGCTTGGGCTACAATAGTGTTGAGCTGGGAGTTATGAAGTCAGTTCAGGCCTTCCACGAGGGTGGCAGAGACCCAACTATTTAAGCCATCACTACTGCCTCCCAGGGTCTGCATTAGCAGGAAGCTGGAATTGGGAGCTAGGGTTGGGAACCAAGGCAGTCTGATATGAGACACAGGCATTTTTTTTCAAACCAAAGATTCATTTTTCTGAAAGGCAGAGTTACAGACAGAAAGAAGATGTTATATTTTTTCTTCCATCTGCTGGTTCACTCCTCGAATAACTGCAATAGTCAGGGCTGGGCCAGGCCAAAGCCGAGAGCCTGGAACCCCACGCAGGTCTCCCACGTGTATGGCAGGGGCCATTCTCTGCTGCTTTCCCAGGCCCATTAGCGGGGAGCCGGATACGAAGTGAAGCAGCCAGGATGTGAACTGCGTTCATACGGAATACCAGACGCTGGCCCTGGACACAGGCATCTTAACCAAGATACCAAAAGCACCCAATTTATAACATACACTGAATCACAGAAATAACAGCTTTAAACAGGCAATTCCAGATATCTGGATCTATCAATCTAATCTCAGTGATACATTCACATCCTCAAAATCTTAGGATGAACAATTGTATATCACTGTTTATTTAAATATTCAAAACAAGACATATTCCACGTGTAAACAAGTATAATCTTTTATCCTTATAATTTATAAACCTCTCTCTTCAAATTTGTTGTTGTTGTTGTTGTTTTTTTTTTTTTTTTTTAAGATTTGAGGCCGGCACCGCA